CTAAGGAAAAAAAAAAAAACAAAACAAAGATAAAAGGAAAACCTGCATATGGAAAGTAGGTAAGGAAAGTAAAATGACTGGCTAAGTTTTCCAGAATTAAAGGAGAAAACCCAGGACAAAATCTGAATGGATAGAAAAAAGTTGTAAAAAGTTTGTGGAAAAGGAATCTTGGGAAAGGAATTTAAGTGTGGTGAAGCTGGCTAAAATTGGAATATAGACAAAGTTTTTTTAAAAAATTAGTTTTAATATCAAAAATACAGATACAAAATCAGAATTTGGTTTCCTCTCTGTTAAAAGGACAAAGTTTTCTTAGATGATTGTTCTCCTAATAAGAAATTGCAAAGGTTGTTTGTGGGGTTTTGTTTTTTTTTTCCAACCTTTGGACAGGAAAGATTTTCTTCTTCCCCAAATTACTAACTCTGCTTTACACTGTCTTTATCAGGTCTTTGATTACTTAAGAAAACCCAGTCTTCGGCGCCTGGGTGGCTCAGTTGGTTAAGCTACTGCCTTCGGCTCAGGTCATGATCCTGGAGTCCTGGGATCAAACCCCGCATCGGGCTCCCTGCTCAGCGGGGAGTCTGCTTCTCCCTCTGGCCCTCCCCCCTCTCATGCTCTATTTCATTCTCTCTCTCAAATAAACAAATAAAATCTTAAAAAAAAACAAAAAAAAAAACCCAGTCTTCACAATATTGAGAGCTTTTGTTCACAACTATATAACCTGTATTTACCTCAACATCTGTCACTTTCACTAGAGTTATTTCATAATGATCTATTATCCTATTTAATGGAATGTTCAAACCTTTTGACATTTTCTTAAAATTCTCAATAGTCTTTTTGACCTCTAACTTTGAGATTTTCCCAGAGGGCTCCTGGAAAGTCTCAAAGGCTGTCTCTCATTAATTCAACATGTTAAAATATGTGGGAAGCACTGTCAAATAACCTTAGGTTATATGTGTATGGATATATATTACTAACATAAGTAATCCAGAAATTGCAGTTTCTAGGTATTTGTCAAAACTCTCATTGTCCAATTATTACCCTAAATGATGAAATAACTACATTTCCGTCTCCGATAAACTCATCAGATCATTAACCATGGGCATTTTTAAAGTCTTGTCATTTACAGACAGTCACTTTACTCATGCTTTTGTAAAAGTGAGATTCGTGGAAAGGACCTACCAAGTACTCTGACTACTGACACTGCTGCCAAGTTAGAAGGTGTGGATTTCGCAGGAAGATGGCTCCACCTGCCATCTAGTCCTGTGTAAATGGCTGGAGACCTCAAAAGAAAAATGACCAGGAAGAAAAGTAGCCAACACTGAGGTAGACAGCTTCCTCCCAAGACGTGGGGCAAGGAATGTTTCTGCTCCTTCCCTGACCATCCTTTCCCTAATTCTACCACCATGAAGGTCTTTAGGGTTCTTTTGTTCACCTTTTGCCTTGCCTCTGGCCCAGAAACTACCTTGTTCACATACCTCAAGCAGGTAATCAACGTTTAAACAACTCTTGGATTTGCCATGATGCTGGTGATCCTACGTTCTGTCCATCACAAACTTCTGATTTCCGATGCCTTGGTTTCTTTGGAACAAGCTCAGCCCTCTCTCAGTCCCGTCAGGCTCCCTAACCCTCGGGGTCCCTCTCCCTATCTCCAGTTAACAACCCCCAACCTGGGGAACCTTGCATCCAGGCTCCGGACCAAGAAACAGATACGAGACGCTACCCAGAATAAAACCACCAGTGCAGTCTATAGATCCTGAAATTGTACTGGCCTCCATGGCTGTCACCTGTCCAGGCCCAAGCCACAGACTCAAACCGGATTTCCCAGGAAGCATTCAGGATTCCAAATTCACTTCCTTCAACAGATTCTTCTCTTCACCTGGCTAAGCCTAAGTGCAAATGAGGCTATGATCAGAACTTCTCCTTAACTCCTGAAGATACTGAAGAATCTGCTTCTAAAGCAATAGCTGCCCCACAACAACAAGCAAACCCTGGCTCTCTCCCCTGAGAGATTCTTGGTACCGGGAAGGCCCTTGGTTATCTATCAGCTGAGCAAGGAGGGCTCTGTGCTGTGGCCAATGCCACTTGCTGCACTTGGGCTGACACCTGTGCGGAAGTGGAGACTCCGCTACCTAAGGTCTGTGAACACGCCAGTTGGCCTAAGTGACTCCTACAAACAGGTCTTTGTTGACTGACTGGGGTCTTGGGGACCATGGCTCCGGAGTACACTCCAAATACTGGAATTATCCTGCTTAGAATCCTAGTAGCTCCCTGGTGCGCTGAAACTCTCAAAAGCTTTAAATCCATGTCTGCTGCCACGTACCACCATGCAAATGATCTCCCGAAGAACAGAACATCAGAAAAGGAACAGAGAATGACCAAATTAAAGAATGTGAACCCAACACTGGGTGGGAACTGCAAGAACACCAGAATGGTAGCAGAGAGGAGCACTAATGCCTTAAATTTTGATCCCATCTCTCAAGGCTGAGAGTCTCATCAAAAGGGAGGTTATTGTTAGAGACAAGAGGCCCAAAACAGGGTCACTTATGCTAAGCCCCATGTCAGCAAACACAACTTAATCACAGGTCCAGTGCTCCCGGCAATGGAATCAATCAGGAATCGCCTAATCAATGCTAGTTAATTGGCCTGACAGACCCCTGCCAGCCCCTAAAAGGAAAGCGACTGTAATAACCGACCTGCTCTTTTGCCAAGTCGGGCTGACTGACCTGTGCCATCATTTCGAAGGGCTCTTTGCACCGTAAGCAGGACATCGCTCACGGAAGAAGCCACCGCCCTGATGCCAGTCAGCTGCGCTGCACGATCATGTGCTCCCTCAGCAGCAAGCACCTACTTGGGGAAGGAGGAGGACAGCAAACCCTCGCCACCAACAAGGGGCATCAAGTCCACCGAGGTGAGGAGCAGACAGCAAGTGAAAACAGAAGGTTAGTGCACTCTTGGACCTCAAAGAAGTATCAAACCAACTCCTGGTCAGCCACAGGGTACTAACTACTTCAAAGAAAGAATGTGTACAAATAAAACAAGACGCTGGGGTTTTGTTGTTTTGTTTTTTTTTTCTTCAAATGGCTGTTGAATTTATTTGCTTGATCAATAATGGTCCTGGAAAAAATTAGTTAACCAACGCTGAGACAACTGTAATGAAATACTAATTTTAAAAATCATGACACCTTGATAGAAATTAGAGTTCACACAAACAAAAAAGAAACCTTCAATATTGCCAGCAAATATGAAATAATGTAATATGACCGACAGGACAGCAAGAAGGCTTTTATACGTTTATATTTGACACCTGACCATATTTTCAGTCACCATAATATCTTCTCTCCAGATTTAAAAAAATAGTATGCTGATTTCTATAACAAAGCTTTTTTTCGTACAAAAATCAAACAATGGCCAACAAGTCACAACAGTGCAATAGGTAGAGAATTAAAAACCGCATCAAACAGGTGCTGAAAATAAATAGTAACTAGGAGAGGACAGAGCCCTCGGGGGGGGGGGGGTTTGCTTCCATCACCTTGAGTGTGTGGGGTCTGTCTTCATAGCCATGAGAGCTGACCTACCTCATGAGTGCCACTGATTCCGACAGAGCACGACTGAACAAAGGTGCCTGAGAGCTGACCTCCCAGATGCCTCAGTCACCAGAGAAGTCGCAGAAGCAAGAAAACGGGGTCGGGAATCACAGCTATCACTTAAAGGAGAAGTTTTTTTTTTTTCTATTGCTCAATCTTGTCAATTGGGAGTCCATCAGCAGGTTCACTGAGATGACACGGGTCATTGAAAACTTTTGTTTAAGAGCATATATGGCTTATTCAGGCAAAGAGACTTTTACATTCTAGCCCAAGCAAGCAATCTCGGTCATTCTGTGTTTAATGGCAGATGAGTCACACAGAAGATGTCTGGGTTCAGAAACAGATCCTCTGTGTGGACGCCTCAGGCCAGGCAGCTACCTTCGACCAACCCAGTGAAAAGCACGTGCTGATCAGCAGGAGCGAGGTGGCTACTCCTCCACTGCGGGGTGGAGGGGAGGGGGGAGGGGGGCCAGTGGGCAGGCTCCACCAGCAGCTCTGTGACCAGCTAGGCCATCCTGTGACTCAGGCTCATGGACTGTGGGTTAGGACCGTCAAAGGAGAGGGTGACAAGGGTGGGTAAAGGTAACCTCAGTAAGAGCCGTTCTGGCCAGTCAGGAAATATGAGGCAGCTCCCCATTATATAATCTGCACCAAAAAGGTGTAAAAGGCACAAGCAAGAGTGACTAGTAAGCAGAGATCCCGAAGGGTGAGACTATGGGGCAATCCACAAGGCAGGAACAGTATTTACCTTGTTTGGTTCCCAACCCCTTGAACAAGAGAAAGAGATCCTGATTCTGCTGTAATAAAAAAGCAAAGAAAGACGATTTTTGGTTTAAAAAGAAGCCACTCAAGGGTTAAAACAGTTTTAAGTTAACAAAGAAAATTAATCTTCAAATAAGCTGACACTATCTGGAAAACTCATCTGTCCCCTACAAGCCCACACTGCGCACACTGCTTTGTCGTCCTCCGTGTAACCTGAGCCTGACTCGGAGAAGTCACACGTGTGAAAAGAAGGAAGAGTCTGAGAAGAAAAGACATCTTTACAGAATGTACAGCAGAGAGTTGTGCACTCCGACTCTCAGGGTTACAGTAAGATGCACAGGTCTCATTGGGTCTGGGGGTCCCGTGCCGCTCGGGCTGCTCAGATGGGCGTCTCCTTCCTGTCTCTGCCCGGGGACGGCTTGGCCTGCTCCAGGGTGCCTGGCCGCCTCTCGGGCTCGTCATCGTCCTGTGCCTGCGCCTCGGGCTTGGCTCGCTGCAGCTGGAGCAGGCGCAGCTGCACCCGCAGTTCGATGATGGCCTCTCGCTCTTCGTGAATTGCTTGATTCAAATGATTGTTCTTTATCTTGAGGAATGACAAAGGAACAGTTGTCACGGAAGCAGGAAGGGCAAAAGGACAATGATTCAGGAACAGTTAGCGAGGGTATCCTACACAAGAATCTATGTTTTAGTCGCGAAACAGCAGATGAGAACATGAATATGCAAATGAGACACGTAAAGACCTTGACCCAGAATGCACAAAATTCTGCTCAGTACAGAAGAGTAAACACATCTGGGAAAGATAAATGCACCAACAGAAAACAATCTGCTTAAGGATATTAAATATTAAGTATTTTAGTGTTTAAAATAGGTTTAATTTATGGGCTCCAGACCAGCCCTTAAGTAAGTGGAAGATAGAAGTGACTGTACCAGCAATCAGTGGGAGAAGTTAGAGATAGGATAAAATCCCAGACTCGTCTCAAAAGTGGATGTCCTTTGTCTTTTGTGAACTGGGCTACTTAGGCAAACTAGAGAGCTATCAGTTCTACATTACTGCACTCCTTCAGCAGAGCCAAGGCAGCTCAGTAGCTAATCCCGAACTCTGCTGACCTCCCGAGGCGGAGGCCTTCGCATGCAGCACGTGTCTCCTGGCCTCCCCCGCAGCTAGCTGTGGCCAGGGGCCTCTGCTGACAGGGTGTGAGCAGAAGCGTTGCCTTCTACTTGTGCCACTTGCCCTTAACCACCAGGCATTCTTGGGTTCCTTCCTCCTTCCTGCTAAGAGTGGCTAAGACCTAAGGGGCTACTCTGGACCCCAAGTGTTTTCCACTCACGTGGAGGGTGGGAGACCTAGATGTCTGCCAGGCGAGGCATAGAACTGTCTTGTTCAAACCACGAGAGAGTATTTTCTTTGTCACAGCAGCTAAGCCCGTATCCTAAGTACTACAATTCTGGAACATTTTCCTACTTAGGATTTTCGTATGATCTGTAAAATGTTAAGAAAGCAAAATAGAGTGCCAACGTGACGCCCTTCTAAAGAAGGGAAGCTACACGGTGGCCCAGGGCCCCACCCGCTGCTCCACTTCTCCCACAACACGCCCCTGGCTGCTGCGAGTGTTCCGGGACCTGAGCCTCGGTGCGCTGCCCCTCTCAACCCTGTCCATAGGACTTACTGTTGGTGTGGAATTCTAGTTTTCTATGCAGTGGGTGGCTCTGATCTGCCCCAGCAGGTGAATGCACCAGGATGAGAGAAACAAAGTTGTCCCACCATTCTTAGAATCTAAGACAAGACTGGCTTTCTCTCAACCCTGAGGTAAAACATCCAGAGACAATGATTAATCTGGGGTAAGAAGGGAAGTTCTGATCAGGATCATGTAAATCTCTTGCTTTCATTTCACCATGCGCTTGCCTCCCAGATCCCTAGGGCCAAGCTTATTCACACTGGCTGCTTCAAGGGTTAAGGGATGAGAGAAAACTTTGTCCCCATTTTACCCGCAGGTGAGTCAGGAGACTTTTCCTTCCTCCACCAGCATTTCTCCTCCTGTTCATCTCTGGGAAGTTAGCCCAGATCTTCCACAACTGTTCAAGGCAGTCAGGTGGGGCTCCCCATAAATGGAAGGGAAAGGTCACCACACCCAGGGATGCCCGGTGAGGTCACACCTGTGCTGTGTGCTCGGCCAGGACCAGCTCACCCCCTGCACACTCTGGTGAGATGTCCCCTAAACTCCTCTCTACTCAACCTCCCCGCTGCTTCCCAAGGAAAGGAAGACAACTTCTAAGGGAAAGAGGTGGCCTCTACGAGTTTCGGGAAGCCGGTGCTCACTTCTAGATCTTCATTCTGCCTCTGTAAGTCCTCCAGGATGATCTGAAGCTCCTCTTCATCCTCACTCTCACTCTCACTGTCGGAGGAGTACTCCTCGGTCTCACTGCGGCCATGCTGCTGACGGCTGTGGGCGGAAGGCCAAGAGAAAAGGACCAGTGAGCAGAGGAAGGAATGCTGCTCCTTTCCTACCCTTTAGATTCACCAGCTTTTCATGAACTGGCTTAACAGAGCACCATTCTCAAGACTTAATCAAGAAAAAACTTGGGGGCGCCCAGGTGGCTCAGTCAGTTGAGCGTCCGACTCGGCTTCAGCTCAGGCCATGATCTCAGGGTCATGGAATCGACCCCTCGTCGGGCTCCATGGTCGGCAGAGAGTTTACTTGAGATTCTCTCTCTCCCTCTCCTCCCGCCCCCAACTGCATACACTCTCTCTCTCTCAAATAAATCTTAAAAACAAAGAGAAAGAAACTTAAAGACAAGTGATTTGGATGTCTAGTTCTTTTGTACGAAAGTCTGAGAGCTGAAACAATTTTATGTTTATATTTAACTAAACATTCTTGCAAACTTAAAACCCTCTGCTTTCCTTTACCTCTGAATTTCAGCAATCTCAGCTCTGAGGCGTTCAATCTCTTCTTTTTCTGAGGCAATCTGTCGGCGTAAAAACTGCTCCATGGCTAGAAGCTCCTCCTGTTCAGTCAGGATCTCATTCTCCTGAAATAATGATCACTGGTGAACACCTCTGAGAGTATGAGTCTAGGAAATGTCACTTTTCTGGGTTCTCCTATGTTCCCTTGAATTCTTTAGCCCCATACATACATACATACCACAAGTTACGGGCAGGCTTGGACTGCAAAGCTTGTATCCTATTTCCTTAATGTCAAGAAAAGGATCTCTGAGAAAAGGCCTTCTAGGAGAATTGTCTAGATTTTTCTCAAGACATAAAATGCCACCTAGGAATCCCATGTCGTTTTGCAAAGCTTCCCTATGAGGCCATCACACTGGGCACAAAGCCAAAGGTCAAGTGACTATGTCCGTTTTTGAGTCTCAGTCCCTCCTGAATGCCTTCCCACCTATCAGTAAAGGGAGTATCTATTTCAGGGTCAAGATGGCCCTTGACAGTGCACTGGGAGAAGGACCCAGGAGATATACAGCTGATGTCAGTATCACCTTAAAGCAGATCTAGTAAAGGGAAGATGTTCCCAGAAGAAATCTTTTCTCCTCACCAAAAGCCACCATCCTCCTCAGCCCATGTCACCGGAGATGATAAATTGTAAATATTCTGCTTTCACAGACTATGCATTTCTAAAACTGAATCACCAAAAGGGGGGCAGGGAACCCTATCTGTCCAAGATCTACCTAACCCCTCCAACCTAGAGAAAAGAACAAAAGCAGAATTTCAGAGGCAGGAATGTATGGCTATGAAAACGAAGAGTTGGAGGCAAAGGTCTACAGCATTTCCTTCCCAACTCCTAGGTATCCAGATAAGCACCTGTGATCAAACCTGAAAGACACTGTGGTCAAGTTCTAGAGGGAACTACTCAAAGCCCCTGGCAAGCATGAGCAAGCTCTTGGGAGATGGGATATGCAGTGGTCCTTCCCCACGGGTTTCTAAACACAGATGTTTTCCCTTTACCCCAGTGCACCTAGTAAAGCTAATGTGCTGAGAAATATGAGACTGGAAAACTTTGAAATAAAGACATAATCTGGGACTTCATCTTGTCTTCAGGGGAAGAGCTATGTGTCCTTGGCAGGCAAAACATAGTCTTTCTCAAGTGACAGAAAAGGACTGGAACTTGTCCGGCTTTAGGTATCCCACATCTATGGGTTTCTGGGAGTACAGACTCTGCTGTCAGAGCCTAGAATTTCATTCATTTCTGGTGAAAGTCTGGAAGGTTCCAGAACAGAGTAAGGTTGACTTAAGAAATTCAGAGAGAAAGAAAGGAGCTCATCTTCAGCTCTATGCCTAGAACAATAGATACTCAAGAACTATTTGTCAAATCAATGAATGAATAATAAAACAACTCATCTCCAACAACCTTCAACCACAAAGAATAAAGTCAAAATATCTAAACAGATATTATCAGCAACAACAATCAGATAAAATCTATACCGTTACATTTCAAGGATCCCAAACTTTGTGGTCAGGAAGAACATGTCTTAAAATATTTATTAAAGTCCAATCTCATTAATATGGAACAAGTGCAACTAATCTATAAGTTGGGGAAAACACCTATAACTCAGACCTGTGTGCGGATAAAATGAAATTAAGTAAAGCACCTAGAACAGTGTCTAGTAAGAAGTAATCAGTAGAAGGTAGTTTCTTTCTCCAGCTGAACACTTAAGCAAACACCAAATAAAGGTAAGACCAAATACAACAGGCCTGATCCCTCTAAGGCTGCCATATCATCTTACAAGTTTCTTTAAAAGATTTACACCTATGTAGTTGAGCTTCTCAAATTTAATAAATGATGACCACTAAGAGTCTTGCAACACACTCCTGAACAAGCAACAGGTCAAAGACGAAATCAAATTATCTAGAGATGAATCAAAGTTGAAACACAACATCAAAAGTACAGGATGCAGCAAAAGCAGCTCGAAGAGGAAGTTTATGGTATAAATGCCTTCATTAAGAAAAAAGATCTGAAACAACCTATCTCTACACCTCAAGGAACTAGAAAAAGAACAAACTAACCCTAAAATTAGCAGAAGGGAGGAAATGATACAGATCAGAGCAGAAATAAATGAAATAGAGACTAGAAAATCAATATAAAAGATCAATAATACTAAGAGTTGGTTTTTTGAAAAAACAAAATTGGCACACCTTTAACTAGAGTAAAAGAGAGAACTCAAAACTATAAATGAAAGAGGAAACATTACAATTGATACCAAAGAAATAAGGAACATTATAAGAGACTACTATAAGCATTTATACACCAACAAACTGGATAACCTAGAAGAAATGGATATGTTCTTAGAAACATATTAGCTGCCAAGACTGAATCATAAAGATTGAGTATCTGAACAGAGCAGCACAAAGATTGAATCAGGAATCAAAAATTGCCTAACCAAGCAAAAACCAGGACCAGATGGCTTCACAAGTGAATTCTACCAAATACTTGAAGAAATAACGCCAATCTTTTTCAAACTCTTCCAAGAAAACTTACAAATGCTCCCAAACCTCCTTTTACAAGGCCAGCATTACCCTTGTCCCAGAGCCAAAGACACTACAAGAAAGTTACAGGCTGATATCCCTGATGAACACAGATGCAAAATTCCTCAACAACATACCAGCAGACCAAATTCAACAACACATTAAAAAGATCACACAACATGATCAAGTGGGATTTATCTCTGGAGTGCAAGGATAGTTCAACATATGCAAATCAATAAATGTGATACACCGCATTGACAGAATGAAAGATAAAAATCCTATGATCATCTCAGTAGATGCAAAAAAGCATTTGACAAAATTTTTCCAAAGTCTTAACAAAGTGGGTACAGAAGGAACACACATCAACATAATAAAGGCCACATATGGCAAGCCCACAGGTAACATACTCAACAGTTAAAGGTTAAAAGCATTTCCTCTAAGATCAGAAACAACACAATCATGACCACTCTCACCACTTCTATTCACTATTTAGTACTGGAAGTCCTAGCCAGAGTAATTAGACAAGGAAAAGGTAGTCGAATTGGAAAGAAGTAAAATTGTCTCTGTTTGCAGACAATGTGATCTTATATATAGAAAACCCTAAAGACTCTACCAAAAACAATAAAAAACAAAAAAACCTGTTAAACCAATTCAGTAAAGTTGCAGAATATAAAATCAACATATAAAAATCAGTTGTATTTCTGTACACTAGCAAACTACCTGAAAAAGAAATGAAGAAAATTCCATTTACAACAGCATCAAAAAAAAAAATACTTAGAATAAATTTAACCAAGGGAGTGAAAGATCTATTGAAACTAAAACACTGATGAAAAAAACTGAAGACACAAATAAATGGAAAAATATCCCATGTTCATAGATCAGAAGAACTAATATTGTTAAAATGTTCATACTACCCAAAGAGATCTAAAGATTCAAAATTCCAATGGTGTTTTTCACAGAAACAGAAAAAAACAATCCTAAAATTTATAGAGAACCAAAACAGACTGTTAATAGTCAAAGCAATCCTGAACAAAAGGAACAAAGTTGGAGGCATCACACTACCTGATTTCAAAGTATACTGATTTCAAAAGCTTTAACAGTATGGTACTGGCAGAAAAAGACAGAGACCAATAGAGGGAAACAGAGAGCCCAAAAATAAATCCACACATTTATATAGATCTTTGCAAAGGTGCCAAGAACATATATAGGGAAAGGACCATCCCTTCAATAAATGGTATAGGGAAACTTGTCTTCCACATGCAAAAGAATAAAATTGGACCCGTATCTCACTTCATATATATAAATCAACTCATAATGAATTAAAGATTTAAATATAAGAGGGGCGGACCAAGATGGCAGAGGTGTAGGAGACCTGGATTTCCTCTGGTCCCAGGAATTCAGCTAGATAGGGATCAAACCATTCTAAACACCTATGAACTCAACAGGAGATCAAAGAAAAGAACAGCAACAACTCTCTGAACAGAAAAGTGACCACTTTCTGGAATGTAGGACGTGCGAAGAAGTGAATCCGAGGCGATATTCCGGAAGATAGACGGCAGGGGAGGGGGCCTCCGTCAGCCACTTCTGGCAAGTGATAGAGCAGCAGAGCACAAAATCAGAACTTTTAAACGTGGGCTCCGCTGAGGGACGTTGCTCCAGTGGCTAAGCGGGGAGTGGAACCCTCGCTGGGACAGTGGTCTCAGGACCCACGGGGTCACAGAAAGACCAGGGGTGCCTGAGTGCAGCAGAGCTCCCAGGTATCGGAGCGGGGAAGCCAGCTGCAGAAAAGGAGCCGAGGAGTGGGCTCACAGCTCGGCGTTGCCATAAACTGTGATCCACAGCACAGTTGGGCCACTGCACCTCCAGCAGGGACCCAACACTCCTCCCCTGGGAGGAGTGGCGCGGGAGTGCACCACAGGGATCTGCTGGGTTTGGAGACTCCACACGGGGTCGGGGGCCAGAGATAGAAATGCTCGGTCACAGGCCGGGTGAGCACAGAGTGCTGCCGGAGACTGGGGAGATGGGAGTGATTGCTTATCTCTGGGGGCTCACTGAGGAGTGGGGTCCCGAGTTTCCTCCGGGGCAGAGATTGGGAGGCCACCATTTTCACTCTCGTCCTCCAAAGCTGTACCGAAAGTTTGCAGAGAACAAAAGCTCCCGAGAGCAAACCGAGCAGATTACTTAGCCCGGACCTGGCAACGGCGGGGCAATTCTGCCTCCAGCAAAGACATTTGGGAACCATGGCAACAGGCCCCTCCCCCAGAAGATCAGCAAGAACAGCCAGCCAAGACCAAGTTTACCCATCAATGGGAATGGCAGAACTCCAGCACTAAAGGAATACTGCACATAGAGTTCATGGCTTTTTTACCATGATTCTTTAGTCTTTCAAAGTTAATTTTTTTTTAACTTTTTCTTTTTCCCTTTTTCAACCAACATCTTATCAATCTCTTTTTTAAAAAATATTTTTTATTTTTCATTTTTAGAGTCATATTCTATCCCTTCATAGCAGTTACCCTTATTTTTGGTATATATATATATATAAGTTGCTCTCTCTTTAAAATTTTGAGCTACTGTTTCTTCTAACAGATCAAAATATACCCTAAAACTCTAGTGTATGGCTTTGTTCTAGTGTCCTGCCTGATCACATTCTCTCCCTTTTTTTTTTTAAATCCTCTTCTTTCTTTTTTTCAACCACTCCTTATCGATTCCTTTTATAAAATCTTTTATAATTTTCATCTTTGCAGTCATATTCCATCCCTTCATCATATTAACCCTTATTTTTGTACATATATAAGTTTTTCTTTCTTTACAATTTTGGGAGGCACTTTCTTCTAACAGACCAAAATATGCCCCAAATCTAGTGTGTGGCACTGATCTATGCACCAGCCTGATCATATTTGATCATGTTTTTTTTGTTGTTTTTGTTTTTTTCTTTTTCTTTTTTCTTTCTTTCCCTTTCTCTTCCCCCATTTTCAGGTCTTTTCTGATTTGTTTAGTGTATATTTTCTGGGGACGTTGTTACCCTGTTAGCATTTTGTTCTCTCATTCATCTATTCTCC